GATTCCTGTGGCCCAATATCCATTGAATATGGGTAGAGAAGGAAATGAAGGCACATCAAATGCCCTTGCAGTTCAGTTGGAAGCACAGGGGAAGGTAAAGTATGCCGTTTTGGCACGTCAGGGACACTCAAAGGACAAGATAATATACTCAAAACTGACAGACTTGCTTCCAGCGGAAGTGGTGGCTGGAGATGATCCAAGCCTGGAGAGACCATCAGAAGACAATGTGCAAGAGACTACCGACAAAACTCGTCTTGCCTTGGAACGTCTCACACATACAAAGATAGCAGTTGCTATGCCAGTCAGGTGTGCACAGTATATCCGTTACACACAGTCTTGGCAAGGGGCTGCCTACAATTCAGGTGCAAAACAGCGTGTCATTCGAATGGTAAAGGCCCAGAAAGATCCAATGGAACCACCAAAATTTAAAATCAACAAGAAGATACCTCGTGGACCTCCCTCACCGCCTGTTCCAGTACTGCATTCTCCAACAAGAAAGGTGAGTGTTAAAGAAAAGAATGAGTGGAAGATTCCACCATGCATTTCCAACTGGAAGAATGCTAAGTGGTATGCAATCCCTTTGGACAAGCGTCTCGCTGCAGATGGACGTGGCCTGCAGCAGGTTCACATTAATGAGAATGTTGCCAAAGTGGCAGAGGCCCTTTATATCACTAATAGAAAGATACGTGAAGCTGTGGAGATGCGAGCCCAGCTGCAGAAAAAGTTAGCACAGAAGCAGAGGGAGAAGAAGGAGGAACATCTGCGGCAACTTGCGCAGAAGGCCAGAGAGGAAGAGGTTGGCATCAGAACTCAAGCAGCTGCCACAGATAAAGATGAAGAGGCTTGAAACCTTGATCGGCTGCGTTATGAACGCCACAAAGGTCGTCAGCGTGATCGCAACACTGCAAGAGCTGCTTCATACAAGAGGTCAAAGCTGCAGCGTGAATGGGAACGAGACATCAGTGAACAGATTGCACTGTGTTTGCCGGCCAAGAACATATCAGGTGGGGAAGTTCAGTTTGACCAGCGTTTGTTCAACACTACACAGGGCATGGACTCTGGCTATGGGGATG